AGCTGGGACCACAGGCACCTGCCACAACACCTGGCTATTTTTTGGTTGCAGCCGTCATTGTTTTTTTTGGCAGGCCCAGGCTGGATTTGAACCTGCCACCTTAGGTGTATGTGTCTGGCGCCTTAACCACTTGAGCCACAGGCTCTGAGCCAACACCATCTTTTGAGTGAATGTCACAGTACACATTGCTACCATAATTACATTTAACCTTGGAAAGGTAGAGGTACTATAGATAATATCTCTTAAAATATGTATACATTTTTTTGGCATCCCCATTTAACTTTATTACTAGAGGCACTTTCTTATTGTAACTACATAGAGTGATAGTACAAGTTAGTTGAAATACCAGCACCAGAGCATCCCAGCTTCAATGGCTTGTGCCTATAGTTTTCAACCTGTGCTTAGAACTGATGCCTCTGCACCTCCACAGACATTGGAGACAAACTCCCAGAGTCCAAGTTCTGCTGAAACTGGGCTCTTGCTGCTACAGGCCAGTTAGGCCTGAAACCCACTACATAGTAGCAGTGGATCAGTCCACCCAACTGCATAGGACAAAGCTCAGCCTGATTCTTGTAAGACTTTGTTAAAGAGAATTTTCTCCAACTTTATCCAGGTTAATTCAAAAATGTAAAGTCTCTATTTTTTTTTTTTTTTGGAGTTTTTGGCCGGGGCTGGGCTTGAACCCGTCATCCCAGGGCTGGGCTTGAACCTGTCATCCCAGTATACGGGGCCAGCACCCTACTCCTTGAGCCACAGGCGCTGCCCAAGTCTCTTGTCTTTTTATGGCTGAATAGTATTCCATGCTATACATATACCGCAGTTTATTAATCTCTTAATGAGTTAATGAGCACTTGGGTTTATTCCACATCTTGGTGATTTTAAATTGAGCTGTGCTAAACAATCTAGTATAAATGTCCTTATACTAAAACGACTTTTTGGGTGGTGCCTGTATTCCCATGACATTCTACCCAGGGTGACAGAGTGAGATTGTCTCAAAAAAAAAAAAGAAAGAAAAGAAAAGAAAAGAAACTCTAATAGTTCAGGATAGCAAAGGGCAATTATTTTTACTCATGGAACCATTTCCTGAGATAGCTAAACTATTGGGCTATACACATATATTGTAATGTAGTTTGCATAATCATTGCTCAGAATAGCTCTCTGTGCCACCCCTTTTGGGCCAAAGAGAATAATGAACTAGGCTAGGGAGAAAAAACACAAGACGGCTCTGTAAGCCTACTGAAATCATGGAGCATTTATATCTGAAATCTATGACCTAGAATTAAAGATAGATTTTCTCTCCTCTGTCTTAATTATAAGCATTTCATATTCTTTTTTCTTTTTTAGAGACAGAGTCTGACTTTATCACCCTTCGGTAGAGTGCTGTGGTGTCACAGCTCACTCCAACTCCTTGGCTTAGGCAATGCAGTTTGTTGCAGTTTGGCCAGGGCCTGGTTTGAACCGCCACCTTGGGTATATGGAGCCAGTGCCCTACCCACTGAGCTACAGGTGCCTCCCATTTCATATTCTTTTTTTTTTTTTTGAGACAGAGCCTCAAGCTGTCCCCCTGGGCAGAGTGCCGTGGCATTACAGCTCACAGCAACCTCCAACTCCTGGGCTCAAGCGAGTCTCCTGCCTCAGCCTCCCAAGTAGCTGGGACCACAGGTGCCCGCCACAACGCCCGGCTATTTTTTGGTTGCAGCCATCATTGTTGTTTGGCGGGTCCGGGCTGGGGATTCGAACCCGCCACCTTAGGTGTACATGGCTGGCGCCTCAGCCAGTTGAGCTATAGGCGCCGAACCCATATTCTTTTTGAGAAAAAAAAAGAACAGTGCTACAGGTTTGTTTTTGTTTTTGTTTTTTGAAATAAAGTCTCAAGCTGTTGCCCTCAGTGTGGAATGCCATCCTCTTGCCTCAGTTTTTCTATTTTTAGTAGAGATAGGATCTTGCTTTTTTTGCTCAGACTGGTCTCAAAACTCGTGAGCTCAAGCAATCCATCCACCCACCTCAGCCTCCCAGAGTGCTAGGATTATAGGTGTGAGCCACCACTCCTGGCCTGTGCTATAGGTTTTTTAACTCTCTTCAGAAAAGTGTCAGGGAAGAAAGAAACTATCCAATGGTAAGAGTATACAAAAAGCAATTTGAAATTCCTTTTTTTTTTTTGAGACAGAGTTTTACTCTGTCCCCCTGGGTAGAGTGATGTGGTGTCATAGCTCACAGCATCCTCAAACTCTTGGGCTCAAGAGTTCTTGCTTCAGCCTCTGGAGTAGCTGGAACTGCAAGTGCCCAGTTATTTTTAGTAGAGCCAGGGGACTCACTCTTGTTTAAGCTGGTTTAAATTCCTGAGCTCAAGTCTTCCTCTAAGTCAGGCATCCTCAAACTACAACCCGTGGGCCACATGCGGCCCGCCAAGGACATTTATCCAGCCCACTGGGTGTTTTTGCTGCCACTGCCTGTCCTGCTTAGCAGCTGACTCATCCTGGGGCCTGCCGTCCGTCCCTCCAACAGTCTGAGGGACAGTGAACTGGCCACCTATTTAAAAAGTTTGAGGACCCCTGCCATACTGCTAGAATTATAGGCATGAGTCACTATGCCAGCCTAGAAATCCTTATATGCCACCAAATTAGCAATGATGGGCTTAATATGGAATGGTAGACACCAGTGTAAGTACCTTGGTGGAGTAGCAGATGGGGCCATTATTTCTATGAGCCTTGTCAACAGCTAGAATGGCTCTTACTACCACAATACAAACAAATAGCACTACACAACTAAATATGCATCTTTTTTTTCAGATTAATATAATGGCATAAATGATTAAGTTATACTGTTTGCATTTGTTAGGTAAAGTTCAGGTTGTAGTTGAGCCCTTCAAGGAGGGGTTGGGGGAGTGAAGTATGCACTGTATAATGAACACACATCTTAACATTGTCTTGATTTTGGTCCTTGCTATTTCTTTTATTTTCTTATACCTGTGCTATAAAAACTTCATGCTATTTCAATAGCAATTGCCCCAATTGAGGTAAGGGTCCAAACGTTAGACCATGTCTAATTTTTGTGGGCCCATGGGCCCAATGCTAGATACAGAGTTCTCACTCAGTTAATGTTAATACACAGAACTGAAATGACACCTTTTTTTTTTTTTAATTGAGATGGGAGTCTCACTCTGTTGCCCCATGCTAAAGTGCTGTGGCATCAGCTTAGCTCACAGCAACCTCAAACTCCAAGTTCAAGTGATCCTTCTGACTAGCTGAGATTATAGGCATCCAATACCACACCCAACTAACTTTTTCTATTTTTAGTAGAGATAGGGTCTTGCTCTTGCTCTGGGTGGTCCTTAAACTCCTGAACTCAAGAAATCCTCCCACCTCAGTTTTCCAGAGTGCTCAGGATTACAGGCATGAGCCACCAGGCCCGGCCAAGAAAGCCTTCTTGAAAAAACAGAGGTAACTGGGCAGCCACCAGAGCTCAGTGGGTAAGGTGCCAGCCACATATACCAAGGCTGGCAGATTCAACCCCAGCCCAGGCCTGCTAAACAGCAATGATAACTGTAACAAAAAAATAGCCAGGTGTTGTGGCGGGCGCCTGTAGTCCCAGCTACTTGGGAGACTGAGGCAAGAGAATTGCTTAAGCCCAAGAGTTGGAGGTTGCTGTGAGCAGTGATGCCATGGCAGTCTACCCAGGGCGACATACTGAGACTCTGTCTCAAAAAAAAAAAAAAGAAAAGAAAAAAACAGAGATACCCTACAGCCTCTTCTCCTTGTTTTCCTCTCCTGTCATTACTGCACCTTCCCATATTTGTTTTCTTTTTCCCTTTTGCCCATTTTCTAATTATAAAAATGATGGCTGAGGTGGGAGGATCATTTGATTCAGGAGTTCAAGACCAGCCTGAGCAAGAACAAGAACACCCCCCAACACCACTAAAAATAGAAAAATCAGCCAGCTGTTGCAGTGGGGGCGCCTATAGTCATAGCTACTCCGGAGGCGGAGCCAGGAGGCTTGAGAGGATTGCTTGAACCCAGGAGTTTGAGGTTGCTGTAAGCTAGGCTAATGCCAGGGCTCTGTAGCCTAGGCAACAGACTCTATCTCAAAAAGAAAAAGAAAAAAAAAGTGTGAAGGGAACTTCTTTCTAAGTAATCAGTGAAACCATAAGATTCTCTTAAGTATCGGAGAATATAACCAAAAGACTTACCCAGAGCCTGAGGGAATACTAAGCATGTCTTTGATATTCCAAACATTAAAATTCATTTCTTATGATTATCCCTATTTGAAAGAACAAAGGAATATTAATAAAGAAAATTAATGGTATAATTTTTCCAAAGATTATTAGTGATTATTATATGTAGGTGAAGATATTTCAGCAGTTACATTTGCAGTTACATTCATTTGGTGAAAATTTCTATTACCTATGTGCCAGATAGTTATTTTGTACTGCTAAATTGAGAAATTACCATCCATCTTAATACCAGGGAAAGACCAAAGTCGTCTGTGAAACAGTAAATTTGCCTTGCATCTTCTTCTCTTTTGCCCTTTTCTCTTAACACCCTATAATCTGCTTTCAGGAAAGGATCAATTAACCCCATCTTTCATTGCCTGGGCCAATAAATGACTTAATCTATTACCTCGTCCAAGAAAACCAGTTCTACCCAGGCCACAGGATACTGAAATGCAAAGTCAGCTGTGGAATTGGGGCAGTACAGAAGCTCTACAGGAAGGAAGAAGAGCTTTGGGCAAAAGTGTCTTCTTATACCTCTCACATAAGTAGTTGGCTACTCTGGTCACCAACAACCCAATATGCTATGTACTACATTTCATTATGATGATCATGTAGCCTAGACTTTAGAAACAAACTCAACTTTCCTTTTTTTTTTTGAGACAGAGCCTCAAGCTGTCCCCCTGGGCAGAGTGACGTGGCATCACCGCTCATAGCAACCTCCAACTCCTGGGCTCAACCGATTCTCCTGCCTCTGCCTCCCAAGTAGCTGGGACTACAGGCGATGCCTGGCTACTTTTTGGTTGCAGCCATCATTGTTGTTTGGTGGGCCCGGGCTGGATTCAAACCTGCCAGCTCAGGTGTATGTGGCTGGTGCCTTAGCCGCTTGAGCCATAGGAGCTAAGTCACAAACTCAACTTTCAAATTTTGTCTCCTTGATCTCACAAGAATATTCATATTTATGAGATTATATATTATCATTGTGGCATGAGAAAATATGCCACACATATGGCGGAATAAAGATCATTGACTATCAAATACTGCTCTAACACAAACCTAGATAAAATGAAACAGAAGTTCTGAATATAGACATTTTAATGTACTTTTTATAACTTAACCTTATTTAAATAAATCTGTACAGTGTAATTTTCTAAATTTCCAGAAAAATAGAGGCATTTGAATGTTTATAACCAACCACTTGTTTTGTAAGGATATTAAATTTGGGCAGTTCCTGTGGCTCAAAAGGGTAGGGTTCTTGGCCCCATATACTGGAGGTGGCCGGTTCAAACCCAGCCCTGGCCAAAAAAAAAGAGGAAATAAAAAGAGAAGATAAATACTAAACAAACAAACAAAAAAAGAATATTAAATTTAACTCACAAAGGCTGCATGTGGTGGCTCATGCCTATAATCTTAGCACTCTGGGAGGCCAAGATGGGTGGATTGCTTGAAGTTAGGAGTTCCAGACCAGCCTGAGCCAAAGAGAAAACCAGTTTCTATAAATAGCCAAGTGTTGTACGGGGCACGTGTAGTCCTAGCTAGTTGGGAGGTTGAGGCAAGAGAATCTCTTTGAGCCTAAGAGTTTGAGGTTGCTGTGAGCTATGATGTCACATTACTCTACTAAGGGTAACAAAGTGAGACTCAGTCTCAAAAAATAAATAAGAGCTTGGTGCCTATAGCTCAGCGGCAAGGGTGCCAGCCCCATATACCGGAGCTGGAGGGTTCGAATCCAGCCCCGGGCCTGCCAAAGAACAATGACAATTGCAAACAAAATATAGCTGGGCATTGGGGCAGTGCCTGTGGCTCAGTGGGTTGGGCACTGGCCCCATATAACGAGGGTGGCGGGTTCAAATCCAGCCCTGGCCAAACTGCAACAAAAATAGTTGGGCGCTGTGGCAGGTACCTATAGTCCCAGCTACTGGGAGGCTGAGGCAAGAGAATTGCCTAAGCCAAAGAGTTGGAGGTTGCTGTGAGCTATGACATCACAGTACTCTACCATGGG